TACGATTCTTAGTTCCAGAGTTACATTTCTTTGCAAAGTGATTCGGTTTTTGACAAATAGAGTATTGCTTACCAAAGGCAGGGAAGCGGCCCCAAGCATGCTTGTACGCCTCGGAATTGCAGCAATAATAAGTTGCTTAAAATTAGATTTCTCCGATTAACTTGGTTTTAACTCGAAAGTTTCTGGTGTATCAGTCTTGTTAGTAGTCAACAGTTTCATGTTGGCCTCTGCCAATTCAATAGTTTTTTCAAGTGAACAGTCCTCTCTCAATAATCTTTCTAGGGTATTTTTTTTAAACTATTCCAGAAATATTTGGGTCCATAATAATTTATTTTCTTGATCCCCGAAATTACATAGAGGTATTAATTTCTTTAAATTGATGGAAAACTGCTCAAAAGGCTCATTACAACCTTTCCGATTAAAAAATTTAAAGATAATTACCATTTCGTTCTTTTTCGATATAAAATGTTTTTCCGAAACATTCAGGGTTACTAAAACTGTCTCGTCAGATGGTGTAAGCGTCGTAATAGTTGTATATAATTGCAATCCATCCATGCCTAATAAATTCTTCAATCTCGCCACTTGAACCTCTCGAGGCTTCGTCTCCATTTCTGTTGCCACAAAATACACCTCAGCTTCTCTCCTGAAGCGGCGTGATTGTCATCATAGATATTTAAATACAATGGCTTATTAAACTCCATAATAAATTACGACTGCGCCATGTTACTTGTACATATTTATTATCACATGAGGTTATACCTACCATTAAGGTTACATCTCAGTGTAGCCACCCTTAACTGAAACAGTGGTACCAACCGGTGGTACAACAACAAATTTGTCAATGGTCAACACACTGACAAAACGAACCACCGGGGAACGAACCCTGCGGGCGCTGAAATTATTATATTTCTGGGAAAAGTGTGAAGTCTGTCAGCGGGCAAAATATGATCAACAACCTCTGGTAGCTGAACAAGTAGTCTTTCAGTCGGCGGCCCACCGCGCCGGAACCACTACGATCAATACAAGTGGACATTTATTCTAACGAGGATCAATCATGGATAACAATGTTAGATACGTTTAGTAAAATCGTGTTGGCCCATCTCATTGAAGAGAAAAAAACCTGGGCAGTATGGAAAGGGATTTTGCACTGGTGCGCGATTTATGGTGTGCTGGACGAAATTGTGTCAGACTGTGGCCGAGAATTTACCAATGCCTATATTCAAAATGAATCTAAAACAATAGACATCACCTGACGACTAAGTACCTCCCACCAAAAATTGGAAAAATACATCCATCCAAAAGGATCAGTCTCCATTATATGGCCAAACGAATATATAGGAGATAGCTGAACAGAATATTTCAAGCTGCTGCTGAAAGGGAGTCAAATGTTGGAGCAGTTTGGATGATATTAAGAAGATGACGCAGGTTTATTATGGTGAAGACCATTTTATTTGCCAGAAAGATTTGTTCGAAGCAATGGGCAAGTCAGCTGTTCAGGACGAAGTAAACGAGGTTTATTATGGTGAAAACAATTTTATTTTCGATTGCTACTGAAGTTGCACATTGGTACTATTTTCACTTTGAAACAGGTTATAGAGAGGTCTATGAAGAAAGGGAAATAGCTCTCCTTCTGTTTAGTGCATTTGCAAAAGATTTTTGAAGGAATCTGAAGGAAAACAAGACTAGTAGATATTAGCACAATCCAAAGTGTGAGACACTAAGCAGATAGATAACTATTTTTCTTTATTGATGGACTTCTCTATAACCTGCCTTAAAGTGAAGACAGTCCCAATGTGCAACTTGAGTTTCTCAATCCATATCGCTCTGGCAATCGACAATATTTCTTATTCTAGCTTCTACGATCCTTGAGTAGAGTTTCTTTGGTACACTAAACAGGAATGAACCTCGATGGGTATTACATTTCCTAGTATCCCCTTTCTTGTAAAGGAACAAAACTATAGTCCTTTCATATCATTTTCTAATACATTTGTTGCCTATGTACGTGCAGCAGTTTGAATTACTTCATCCAGACCAACTGTCTTGCCAATTGCTTCAAACAAATCTTTCTTGCTGATAAAATGGTCTTCACCTTAATAAACCTGCATATTCTTCTTATTATCATCCAAACTGCTCCAGCGTTTGACCCCATTTTAGCAACATCTTGAAATATTCTGTCCATCTGTCTACTATATATTCCTTTAGCCATATAAAGGATACTGATCCTTGTTTTCTTTTTTCCAAGATTTTAGCACTTCCCTTTTTCATATGGTCCAACGTTCGAACAAAATAAAGGAAATAAAAATTAATTTTTTTTTAATGGTATATGAGTTTTACTAAACAATCCATCAACTATTCATTATATGTAGTTCAGATTAGGTATGTATTATTTTACTTTATAAAACATGTATTAATATGACTCTTTTCTGGAGAAGTATATAAAATTCAAATTATCTCTAAGAATCAGTAAATATACAAAACAAAGGGTTAAATTGCAAACGTTAAATAAAAATTCAAGTTATTCAGCAAAGTATTTTTGAATTAAGTTTTATTATTATAATTATATCATTTTTACAATAGTCCTTCTTAAACGACCTCCGTATAGAATAAAGGAAGTTAAATTAAAAAAAAATAAATAATAATAAATTTAAAAAAAAATTATTTAATTTTTTTGGACAATTAGATTATTGTATCAATATTTGTTCATTAATACAATCAATATAATGTACCAATGCTGTTATAGCACTATAACTAAGCCATTTATGAGAACTGAATGTTGTGGTAGAAACCAGTAGGCACCTATGCCAGTACAGCTTTTCTGCCGCTTAAGTGCATTTTCTATGGAACTGCTTCAAATATTTTAAAAAGTAATCAGTGTTTTGGGAAGAGAAATATATTCTCCAGATGTTTTATTTCAGCATGTTTTGTGTTATTATTGGCCGTTTAATAACAAACGACACTTGATTTTCGACTTGATAAAAAAATTGACTTTATTGGTGTTTTTCACTGCCTAAGCCAATTCGATTTTAATATTTTTCATGTTTTACTATTCTCTAACTATCCAGCTTTAATAAAAGACCAACTATGACGAAATTAATCCAAATACTAATTCTCAATGACCAAAAATCTAATTAAAATCAAAGTCGTCAGTCCGCCATGTTTAGACACCATTTTGGGGCAGTTTTTTTCACTTTTTTTTTGTGGGAACATTGTAACACTAAAAATATCACTAAATTGACATTACTCAAAAATGTTGAAATTGGAGTTAGTCATTCTGTGGTTTATAAAAGCAAAGAAAGTTGTGTGGTTTATAAAAGCAGATGGAGTGACTAGATTTTTATTGCCTACCGTCGATATATTAAAGACATTTTGTAATTATAATGGTCTTAATGACTTGTTATCTGTAAGCTTTAAGCTTTAGCTCCGTTTGAAATGCACTTCAAAAAATGTTATGATAGCCCACCATTGCCAGAAAATAATTTTTATTCAAAGTAGAGCGGTAAGTGAAAGTTGTGTGTTGCGCGCACCAGATATTTTTTTTTTTTTTTGTATTATTTTTGAAATGTTTTACTTTTAGGTTTCATTACATGTAAACAGTTCTGTTATTCTTTAAGTTTGAGATAAACGTAAATATGTTCTGTTATTCATTTAGATTTAAAACAGATCAATTTTCTTTTTGTTCAAAGTATTAGAGATCCTCCTTACGAAGGAACTGGAAGAAGTTGGGATAATATTAGATATTGTGTTTTATAAGATATATTGACATGTGATCGATTATTATTATTATGATAAGCTTATCCTAGAATAAAATTATAAATCTCATTGTCTAACATTAATTTTCCCTTTCTTGTACTACTAATCATAACTATATATATATATATATATATAATATATATATATATATATATATATATATATATATATATATATATATATATATTATATAGTTATTGGCTAAAATTTATATATAGATCTAACCCTGCATGATTGTTTATACTTTCATTCAGTAATTTCGAGAATTTTCTATGCGGCGTTGTGGGACCAGACATGTAGGAACGAAAGTCCGATAAGCTGAAATATAGGTTTATAGTTTCTTCATTGGTCAAAATTTATGTATAGGACGATGCATAGATGGTCTATCTATTCTTTTACATAGCATTAAGTAGGATATTCCATGTAAAACTGTACAAATCTTGACGAAAAGGGAAAAAAAGTTGATATATCGACATTTTAAATTTAGGTATCGGCCAAAATTGCGATATCAGTCAATCGCTACTTTTATTGGAAGCAATTTTTTTCTTGTTCAATGTGGAGCAATTGTCAATTAATTAAATAAAATATTTTTTAGTTATCGCTGCCTATTCAATCAAACTCAAAATTCCTACTATCATGCTTAGATCACTATCTGTTGAGAGAAATCTCCTAACATTGTTACATTGTGCCAGTGTAGCCTTTAAATGGATAAATGATATAATTTAAATATATATGTATGAAATTTTGTTTGAAAATGGTCCAAATGTTACAATGTTAGATATAATATAATTTAATAAGATGGTGTTGAAGTATTTTATTGTTTTTTTTTAAGATATAAATTGGGTGAGCTTTATAGTCCGGATATTAATAATTGGATAAAAAGAGTGGTACAGACCTCTTTTTATCCAATTATTAATATCCGCCTGAAAATTCATGAATAGCCTCATCTCATTGTAACCTACAACTATTTATGAAAACTATTAGAATTGGAGCATTTTCAATCTGGAGATCGGCAAACTTTATCTATTTCATTAGGTACTAAAAACTCGTAAATACCCATTTGCTTTCCAATTGGATTTGATCACTTTAAATAATAAATTTATTTTTTAAAAAATTTCAAAATTTCAAAATCCAGTATAATTTATACCGTCTAAAATAACAATTTAAAAGTTTAGTTCTAAACTTTGAAATAACAAATTAAATAATTAATTATATCTGAGATTCTTAAAAATAAAAAATAAATCAATAAATGTTATTAAATCAACTCTATTTTAACCATAATATACAGATAAAGTAACAATGACAATTATTTGCCATATATAAAAAAAATAATAACAATGCATAGTATTGTCAGCAACGTAACAAGGAAAGCAATAATATTTACATAGTAAATAGAAAACAATGGTAACATTGACTAGAATAATCAAGCAAATAGCAATATATTAAATTTAATCACAAAAAGTTACAATATCTAAGCTAAAATATTAAAATGAAAATAGCATGTTTGGAAAAGGCTTAAAATTCATTTGTTTCTCATACGTTATGGCTTCAAATTATGAAACTTTTTTTTTTAAAGTGTATGAAAAATATATCACAAGCTGACATCCCCATATTGCTGATTCCATTTTTCATACATAGCTAAATTGGAGGGAGATACACTTCGTCTTATTCTATTCAAAGACTGAACAAAATCTTGAAATGTGATCTGTCTTACATTAACTGGATCCAAAAGCCTTACTTGATCAGCACTCAGCTCTGAAAAAAAATATTTAAAATTTCAACAATGTAAACCTTTAATACTTTTTAATTCTATAAAGTGTTATAATTTTGAAGCAATAAGTAAAACAACATAATAATTAAGATAGATTAATTAATTATTATCTCTTTTTACTTATCACTTCAAAATTATTACACTTACACTTAGTTTTCAAAAATAAATTATAAAAGGAATTAAATATATCAAGAGAATCGTCAAGAAGAACATAGGAAATTTTAGGTTGAAACACAGTTCCATCCGTTTATTTAACATGTTATTGGCCTGACAATCCTACATCAAAGAGGTCATAACTCTTGAAAATCACTTATTTATCTAACCTACACTTCTATCAAACATAATTTCATCAGTAAAGTTACAGAATTACATAAAATTACTCTCTTAATAATGAACAGTGAAATAATAATCTACCAATAATTAGTAAAATATAGTCCGATAGTTAGTAAAATAGTCTGAGAGCTCTAATGGCTTTTCAACTATTCGTATATTAACGGTTATACCTGAGCTCAATAAAAATGTTGATACACTTTCAATTTAATTCAAGCTTTATGTAGAGTTGTAATATGCAAGTAGGCGAAATGTCGTTTGACCACTCGGACTTTAAAGCGCATTTTGGTCATTAATTTTTTTATTATTGTAATGGATGTTTAAGTCCCTCATGCCCACAGAATATATAAAATCTATGTAATTTATTTATACATTCTATTACTGTTATAAATATAGTTAAATTAGCCGAATCAAAAGCACTTAAGTTGAGAGTGGCAGATACCATGAGTGAAATACGTCTTCCATTCCATGCGCTTTAACAGCCGCTTAACCCTATCACATATTAACATATCAACATGAGGTACATGGGAAATTTAATGCTCTTTTAAATTGACTATAATGAATTTCTTTGAGAGTTGCATAGATTATGAGTTTTGGGGAAAAACTGCCGGAAACAGATATTTCTTGTGAAATAAGCTAACTGTCAACATTCTTTAACTCATCAGCCGTTAGTCCAACATCAAAAAGCTATACATAAAATTGATAGTAAATTTTATCTTGTTTGACTTTGTACATAACAATAATTTCGATAAAATGAACAGTTTCGGAGACATAAAAAAAACTAATAAAAGTTCAGAAATTTTGCTATTTTTGCATATATCTCGAAAGGAAATGGAAAATTTCGTTCGTGAACATAAAATCCAGATTAAGCATCCCAAAAAACATGAAAAGTTGAAGAGAAACTGACTATTTGAATCCAAGTACCATCTGACTGGCCTAATTTGATAACTTTGAAGTCGTCAATTTTCAACCGAGTAAATCGTCAGTCAAGGTGAATTCTCTTTTAGGAACATATTCTTGACATGATATAAAAATTTTAGCCATATGTTCTTTCGTTAAATAAACCATTAAATTTTGTCTCTTTAATTTAAATTTTCGCATAGAAAGCAGTGGCTATCAACCAACTGATCAAAGTTTTGTGTTCAGATGAGGTTTATCTAGAATCTAAAATGGTTACTAGCTTTAAGTCCTTCCGTTAAATGAAATGGTCGGTAGCTCTTAGTCTATAAGCATTCCATCCCTTTCAACAAACTAAAATTATTGCCCTCCTCCAATAGCTCCATCTCTTGGTTCCAATATTTCCTCTCACAATGTACTCAAGCAGTCTCTATACCCAATCAACCACTATCTGCCGACCTTTCTATATCCTCTGGAGTTGTCCAGGGCTCAAGCGTATCTCCTCTCCTTTTCAGTTCCTGCAATAACTACCTACATGATTCAATTCTCCACTGCACAGTTGTGTTTTGGCTATCGTTTGTAGATGTGTGTAGTGCATCATGTATTATGTGTAGTACACAACTAATTCCCAGGAGCTCACTGAGATAACAGCACCAGGATTAGTCTTGCAGATACCAGGACAGACCTAACTTTTTATTAATCTTTATTATTGTTTTCTTTTTTCTTATAATTTTTATTTCTTTATTCACCAGTGTATGCTATTCTATTATAACAGAAGATGATGAATGTATATGTAGAAATATTAAGAAGTAAAGGTAAAACCTCCTGACAAAAAGACCACTAATGAAATCGATAGTCAGACGAATAAACATGTAAAATTATTCACTCCCAAATTTTTAGTGTTTTTTAAGGGTCCTTATATAGCCACGGCATAAGAATAGGGAAACTTCTAGGACTTAGCATTAGCCATTTAAATAAAGTAAAGTTAAAATAAAAACTAAACAGAAATAAATTTTAAAAGCTCCGAATTCACGAATGTATTTTTAGAAAATCCACTTTTCACCACCAATAAGCTGAAGGCATATATTCCATGCCATTTTGTAATTAAACATGGTGTGATTTGTGATTCACAACATTCCTGAGGGAATGAGCAAGAATGAAATTATATTTAATATTAATTCAATTGAAAAGGTTATTGTGGCATGTAGATTTTTTAGAAAAATGGAGGGGGTCAACGACCCGGTTAAAGTCCCAACATCATAAGTTCAAGTAACCTTTCATTCTCAGCGCTTATCAATTAATGTTACACTATTTTTAGCCCCAAGGAAGGTGTATCCATACATCTTTAAATCAATACTTTTTAAAATTACCTTAGATATGGATATTTAAAAGACAAATGAAGAGGGAACCCCATTGTAAAAATTGTGGTAGCAAGGAACATATCAGAGAAATATTAACAAAATGTATTTCCTGTTATAAAGCACACAAGCCAAATTGACCCGAAACTGAATGGCAACGCAAAATCAAAGAGATAATGGCAACTAAACCTATAAGTTATCGTGATGCCGCATGTCTTATACCCACTAATATATCTAATAAATTAGGAGATTTTAGATTTTTCTGCCTAAGCAGAAGATAACAAATCTGATGCTACATTAGTAGGCATGAGAAAATGTACTTTTAAAAAAAAGCAAGGAAAATAGTTCCAGTAGAATATAAAGAAATTGCTAAATGAACAAAAAAAGAGGCTTTCCAGGAAAAAATCTCCCTTGACCATACACCAGAATAAAAAAAAACTCGTCAAACTATTTTAATTTGAAAATCCTCATAAAATTTCATCTGATTCTAAATATATAAATATGCTAAATGCTCTTATTAATAAAATTAAAAATACCTATAATGAACAAGAAACGGTTAATGTTACAGGGCAAACATATTTTAATTTTGTTCAAGAAATTATCAATAAAATAGGACAACTATGCAAAATTAATCAAACCCCCTAGTTTTGTTTACTCTTATATTACACCAATAACCCGAATAAGTGCATGTCAATAGATGATATACTAAAAATTAATTACAATAGTTTCTAAATTTGTAACTCAATTTACTATTCAGTTGAAATGGTCCAACAATATAAAAATTTTGACACCAAAAAATTAAAAATAATGCAGCACAATTGCCATAGTAGCACAATAGTGTCAATAGTAAATTCCAAGAAACATGGTTTAGTAACCAAAAAACTTACTATACAAGTAAATTATCAGATTACCAAGTAGAATCGCGGTGATGCTTATAGGGTGGAATCTTCTTACAAACATAACTTAATTTCGAAAAAATTAAACTACCCGACATAGGAAAAATTGAAGTAGTTGGTATTAAAATTATTAACACTAGACCTAAATTGATAATTATATCAGTTTATATACCTTCTTCAGTTGGCGCTAAAGACCATGATGATCTTTGGCCGCGAGATGTGGTTTTCTACTGCAGACATATATTGCTTTCGGGAGCACAGATAGCCTGTAGGGAGTCACCCAAACACAAGCTGCTAAGAACCATGGTCTCCATGGCGCAGCGGTAGGTCACCCGCAGCTTTATAACTGATGGCTCCATAGCTGATTCCTTTGGGGCCAATCTGGCAGTGTCCTTTCTCTTTTCCACCAACTCATTCGGGTTCAATGACAGTGACGAATTGGTCTAGATCCATGGATTATGGCTGCTCAGAGTCAACAGGCACACGAGAACCTACATTTCTTCCCCTGAAACAGACGTCCATGGATCCAACCTCAGGAGGCTACTGACATTCTCTGATTTAAGTACACGGAGTAGGCTAACGGGCCTCACATACCGTGGGGTGGGAGAGTCCCGGGCAGCGCGGCTTTCCCAGGTGAAAGGGCATTAGGTAAGGATAAGATTGTATGTATCAAATACTTTGTATCTGATACTAAAAAGTAGCAGATCCAACCAGTAGGTATAACCCAAAAGAATCTGATACAGATACTAGCATGGATACAAATGGTTGTACAGACTTGCCAAATAGATAGAAGAGGAATGTTATATTTCTTTAGTTATGTTTTTAGTTGTACACAATTTCTTTAAAACTGTCGAGGTAGGTAGAGCAGAGGCAGTTTGCAAGTTACCAGAAGGCCTCGACAGTGTGTGTTCAGTACAGAGGTTCAAGATGACTAAGTTGATGAAGGAAGATGAATAGATGGATGATCTCAAGTGACAGGAGGATCAACACCCAATCACTCTCGGTCTGCAGCGTAAGAGATCAAGCTTACATTCCGCAAGGATGGTTACCACGACCGGAGGGATCAATCTCCGGACTTGTGGGAGGATGAGATACTAAAGGAGGGATCAATCTCCTAACATAGTATATAGGACTGCAAGCGGACGGATCAGCATACAAGTTGCATGGAATAAGATAAGAGGATAAAGGTTAATGGACGTTGTGAAATAAAAAAACCTGTTTGTTGAACACCAAAAGGAGTAAACAATTCATATACTGACTTACTGTGTAAAGGTCTACACCCTAAAGGGGTGGAGATCCGTAGATCTGACAATTTGAGGTTTGACTGCGGTATTTATTCCACCAAGACTAAACCGGCTACCAAGAGCAGTTACAATAACAGTTATTATTGAGCTTTAATCAGTATATGAAATCGCCATTAAACTTTATTAATAAAAAATATTTACAATGAATATGCATATTTCAATTTACAATTTAAGTATTTTATAATACAACAATAAGAAA